GGATTCTTCATTGCTTATAGAAATACAACTGAGGGAGTTCCCTAGTGGCCTAATGGTTAGGATTCCAGGCTTTCACTGCCATGGCCCGGGTTCAATCCCTGATCAGGGAACTGAGATCCTGCAAGCTGTGTGGTCAGAAAAACCCCAAAAACTGATGTGTTGATTTTTGTATCCTGCAATTTTGCTGAATTATTAGCTCTAATAATTTATATTCTATATCACATCTGCTGCCAATGTAGTTTTACTTCCTCCTTTCCAATTTGGATGACCTGATGTTTTTTAATGTCTGAAATTTTTGCAAGTCAATTCCTACTCATGGCACTATGTTGCTTTGTACTTTTATTTTCCTTTCTGATTTTTAACTGTGAGCTATTATTGAGTCCCTGCAGAGTATTTGTTTGCTTCCGCCAGCACTGGGTTGCTCTGACTTGGAACTTTAAAAAATAAACCTTCTGCTTGGGTTTTCTCAGACTACCTATGTAGTAAGATTTAAGGCTACAAATCTTCACAAAGGTCAAACTATTATTACATATTCTGAGAGAATACTCTCCTGCCACAGAGCATCAAGATTCAAGATATGCAAACTCCTCATCGTATGTATTAAGGATGGGTTTATCCTGTTTGAACACCACTCTTTGGATGCATTCTGGGCTTTGCAAAGGTCATGAAAATACATTTCATTGGTTCTTCAAGTGTGTTCAAGATGAAAGCTAGTTTCTGATTATAGTCAGCTTCCTTTTTGGGTTCCTGTTTTAATTTGGTTTTGGCTTGAGAGTACTTTCTTTCTCGACAGATTTTTTTTAAAAACACTTTTTAGAAGTGTTTTTTCCCACCATGTTTAGTTGCTTTTTCACAGGAGAGATGGTCAGTGTAATCATCTATACTGAAATGTCCATCCACTCACTGAAGTGGCCTTTAAGTCAGTCAAGGTTCCATTAATTATTTTTCTATAGTATACTGAAGTTTTTGGTTTTTGTACTTTTGGAGTTAAAGAAAAACAAGGAATACTTTTGGCAAAGCCTAATATTTAGCTCATAGTCATCTATTAAATATCTGACCACCTAACAATGTGCCAGGCAGTCACCTAAGTCATGTAGGGGAACAAAACAAAAATCCTGTTCTTACAGAGCTTACATTCTGGGGTGAGGTTGGGGAGGTAACAGTAAATATTACATTTAAGGTGGGTATTACAGAGTATGCCACAGTGCACTCTATAGTGGCAGTGCTGTGCTGGTATTTTATATAGAATAGTTGAGAAAAAAACAGATGGGTTGACATTTGAACAGAGACTTAACAGGGAAGAAAGGGCTGTACTTTATCTTTGATAATTCCAGGTAAAGGGAAGAAAAAGGGAAACATCTTGAGGTAAGAAAAAGCCCGCTGTGTTCAAGCCTCAGCAGAGGCCTGTGTGACGGAGCTGAGGAAGTTGGTGGGGAAGAGTGATTAGGGAAGAAGTTAATGTGGTGGGAAATGTCATTCCAGCCTGTAAATTGCTTTTAGGATTTTGGCTTTTGCTCTGAATGAGGTGAGAAACCATTAGGTTTGGAGCAAAGCGATAACACGATCAGATATGGTTTAAAAGGAATATGGTGGCTGCTGAGTGTGGGATAGATTACTGCAAAGTAAAAAGCAGGGACACTACTCAGGTTATTGCAAGAATCCAAGAGATGATGTAGATTTAGACCACTGTGACAGCAGTGAATATGGTGAATAGGTAGATTCTGAAAAAAAAAAAAAAATTAGGTAGAACTGACAGAATTGCTGTTTAATTTGGAAGTGTGAGAAATCAAGGTTAATGCCTAGGTTTTGGGCCAGCGCAACTAAAATGTTTGTACTTACTGAGGACAAGAAGAGGTAGGGGCGTGTGTCTGCATGTAGAAATCAAGTCAGTCATCCTTTAGACAGCCAGATGGGATGATGAATAGGAAGTTCCTGAACAGGAAGTTCAGGAGAAATGGCTGGTAGGTCAACATATCACAATGGTTAACTGTGTTCTTAAGCAACTAGGGCATGAAAGTACTTCATTGTTTGGCCTTACTTGACAATACTCAAATTTGATATGGTAAACAAGGAATCGAGGTTACATAGAGGCTCAGACAATAGTAAGAATGAAAAGTAGTTATTTCATAAAACCATTTTCTACAATACAGAAAAAAATTAAGAGGGCTCTTAAAATTTTTTAAATACATAATTTCATCCAGAAAGTGTACAACTTGGGAAGAGATTATCGACAACGGAATGTTAAAACAACATATTCCATGTAAAAAAGCAACTATCAGGAACACTGTGTACCAGAGTTATTCATTAAAAAATTCTTTAAAATGAGGCAAAGGAACTAGTAGTTTAACAGAGTATCAGGAAAGAATGCAAAATATTGGTTAATTACTGGGGACCTGAAAAAAAAACACTCGGCTAACTGCAATCTTCCTAGTCTTCCTAGAACTTTTTGACCTTTCAACACAAGTTCTTCCATAACTTTTATTTTGAAGGGGGAGGGGCTGTCATGTCTTAAATTTCTGGTCCAAATACCCTTACTGTTTTATTTTTCTGTTATATTGGGAGAGTAGAAAGTTTTAATAGCTACCTTAGGGTATGTTCAGTATCTTCTAAATTCAATGAAGACTGCTAACACCCTTCACATGACATCTTACGTTTTCAAACCACCTCCCACAGCCCCCCAAAAGTTGCTTAGGCCACAGAATGAGACCAGGGCTCAAATCCTTGTTCAGCTAGGTTATCTAGCCAACACTTAGCAGGAAAACTCTTGCACCTGGTTACTCATTTTAACTACTACTTGGCTACTGGCTGAATTATGCATACCCAGAATAAAGTTAGGTCTTAGTTATAAATTTGAATGTCACTGGGTTAGACTGTTACTCAAATTAGTTCACTGTAGGATGTTAATAAATCTTATTAAGTAAACATGTAAATCAACCCACAGTATTAAAAGTACTATGAATTTGTCATTGTTAGAAATGTAATACTTGGGCATACAATGTAACAAGTTCTCTTACAGCCATGAAACATCAAGAGTAAAATGAGTAAAATCATCATAGGGTCGGAAGTATCACTGCCATAGTCTACTACAAGGGAGAACTAGGAACAGCCTTCACCTGGATGGTTTTTCAAAACAGGCCACTGGGTACCATTCCATAGTTTCTCAATCAGTGGCCTGGAGTGGGGTCTGATAACTTTCGTTTTAGAGAACTTCCCAAATGATACTGATTATTGCTGGTCTTGGGGTCACGTTTTGAGAATCACTGTCCTAAATTCTTTACAGACCATTGTTTTTGTTATAACTGTAAGAAATTCAAAAATAGAACTCACACACAGTATTAAGTTAAAGTGTGGATTTCATGTTAGCTGGAATTACCGAGTTAAGACCAGAGTGTCTTTAAACACAGACTTTAATGGTAACAATCCTTTAAGCTCTATTAACCTTAGCTATTACAAGTGTTATGCAGATGTCACTATTAGACAATATTTAGTGACTTGCACTGGGTTCCTCATAAAATAGAGACAAATTCACTTAAAACTGTAATCAACAATCATTTAACAGTTTTGTTATGCCAACACAAAACATGGCTAATTTGAGTCACTTCCAAAATCACTAACACAGCATGATCAGTATCTGAAGTATGTCAACTAAGCCATTAAAAAAAAAAAAAAGTGAGTGTTTCACTACCCCTGAGACCACCAGTTAACTGTGGTTCATACTTTAAAAAATTGTGAGTACACCCACACAAGAAAGCAGAGTAGTAAGTTATTTTTTTCTTTTAAATCTGATTATCACATTGCAAACCTGCCCAGGAACAAAAATGAGTCACTTAAAATATAATTTATCATTAACAGCTCAACTGGACTATAATCCCCATAGGTTAAGAGAAACTTAAGTATTTAAAATCTGAGTTATGCATTAAAAGACATAGGAAACAGGAAGAACCAAAATCAATTTTTAATCTAACGATCACTTCAGTCCTATACATGGCACTAGTAATATATATGGGGGGGGGGAAGGACAAATTCTTGGATTCTTTTGAAGGTTTCATTGCAGATGATCTCAAGTCCAGTGTTCATACATTCAAAAATGTTGGTTTTCCAGGTACTTTACTGTTCTCTTAAACCTGGAGAAGCCTTTATGGCTTATTCCCTTAGAAGTGACATACGAAATATAGAAAGCATCAAGTCAAAGATACAGAGAACTGGACACATCTACTAATCATTATGACAATAGTTTAAGGAAGTCATCTCTATAAACACTTAAGGGCTGTCTATGGCTAAAAAGGTCAATTTGAAAGCCAATTAGGAATCCAGAAGCTCTGACAAGTATGTTTTATTCGTGGTTGGCTTTTAAGAAATGATATGTCTACTATAAAAGCTGTTATTTTGAGGGAATCTCAGTATTTATTCTAAAAATAGAGCCAAAAAAAGTTTCTTACCTTGTGGAGAGGTATGTTACTAATTTCTCATTTGTACTTTGAATCCAACAGTTTTAACAGTATGACATCTACCCTTGAGTTGTTTTTAAAGCAAAAGATAAAACGAAAAATTCACTCATTGGAAAATTGTATAACTGGATTGATATTTCTCAATGAAATGCTTATTACAGAATTAACAAAGCCAAAACATCTTCGGAAGGCATGCATTTCACTTTCAGTTTAGAGAAGAACCTTAAGTCAATAAATCATGTCCAAACTACATATTAAAATGTTTATAAAAATCAAGCTTTAACATTTATTTTATATCTAACTTTCCACATCTGTGCGCAGACAAGGAATAAGATTGCACATAAGTGTAAGCAGTGCAAAAATGTGGAAGTGGAAAAGTCACAGATGTGCTAGAAATTGAATACAGGACTGTAAGAAAGCAATGGACAAATCAAAATAACTAGGAAAAAGTAATAAAACTATAGGGTCAGAATTAGGAAGGGTGAAGAATGATAATGCCCTTGTTACTACAGAAGTTAAATAAGTGGCACAGATAGCACTTGTCAAACAAAAAAAAATCCAATAGCATTGACTTTTATTCATTCATGTTAAGTCACCTGAAATGATATCTGTTGCATTTAAATGCTCATTAATGTAAATGGCTGAACAAATTCATTTTAATGGATACTCACTCCATTAAAAAAAAAAAAAACCTCAATATCCCACATAGTTAAGTCACTTCAACATAGCCTTATGACAACTCCCACACCAAAACAGTACTTTATTTTGTAAATTTTGACCCATTATTACTCCCATGTTATGGTTTTTTCAGCTGTCAAGTGTACAACGTGAAGAAAAAATTTAGTTAGATAGGGGTTGCACCTGGAAAATAAATTTCTTAAACTCCATATACACGTTTCAAAACTGCTGGGTCCCAAGTCCATCAATGAACTCCCAGGCTGCCAGTATCATGTGCAGCATACTAAAGCTACACTATCTGAATAGCTTATTAATTCTGCAAAAATCAGGTCAATCAATGTGTCAACCTGTAACAGACTGCACACTTTTAACTGAACATGGCAAAATATTCACTCTCTAGAACTTTACATCATCATTTGATGTCAAACAATGAAGCAAATCCCAACAGTATATACAAAAAACAGCTTTGCATTTACAAAAGATTGTTTCCCATACTGATTAATCCAGGCAGCTAACTCATTGGTTTATGCAACTTTATTGAAGAAAAATAAATCAATTACTAGCAGAGCTATTAGTTGATCACTCATCCATTGACAACTTGCATCATTTATTCAGTGCTATATTAAACAGTGTATTGGAAGATAGATTAACTAATAGCTCCAAGCCTCCTAACAATTTAAATGAAAATTACAAAATGTTTGAGACCCTATTTTGGAATACAAAGGGTGTTTGACTTCCAATTTCCATTCTCTGTAGAACAAGAACAGGTCATTCCTTTATTGACATGCATAAAATACATCACATTTTCTGTTCTGCTGATGCTATAAATTCAATACCAATTCTCCAGCCACATCAGTTATGAGCATAAAGTATATCATGTAACCTCAAATCTCTAACAGTGGAAGGCTTACACAAGAATGGATGCTGCTAGAATAATGCTGCTTCCCTTGATGTGGCAACTGAGCATCCATCTCCCTCCCCCTCTGATGATTCTTCAGCATGTTAGAGCAGTGAGGAATGGTTTTAGTCTCATAACCAAGTTAGAGTGAAGACATTGGCCACATAATACACATGCTCCATTTTTTTTAAAAATTCTGAATCTTGGGCAACTGTTCTCTTGTAACTACTTTACAGTTTCTAAAAGCAGTTATTGTCCAAAGCTGGAAGAACTTAAGTCTTCTCAGATGAGCATGTGAATGAATGGAGGGAGGTAAACAAAAAATAAAATTAAAAAAGATGAGGTCTGATAGGGGAGCAGCCGGATAAGAAAATCAAAAAAGGAACAGTAATTTAAAGTTTATTCCAGCTATAATGCAGGTTATTCTGACTTTAAGGTAGCATCACATGGCATACTTCTGAGTCCATTCCCGAGATATTCTGTTGTACCTGTAAATAAAAAGGATGTTATTTAAAAAGTTAAAGTAATTTTTAATACTTAAAAGGGAAGGAAAGAATCTATTTTACCTCTAGACTCACCAGGGAGTCACCTTTAATGGCTATGATTAGAATAAAGCCAACAAGGAAGAAAAAGCACTGATACTCAAAGCAATGTAGGAAACGAGAACTTTATGCTTCAATACAATGTCCTAATACACTGAAAGTAGTATTTTAATAAACACATAGAATGGCTAACAAAAATCAAAGACCTTTTCTGTCTCCTACCACTGAGCTAATGTTCTATTAGAAACTCTACAACTAGTATCCATTCCAACAAATTTCAACATTTAAAATTTTTTTTACAATTCATCAGAACAGCAGATTCTGTACATCTATAGCAATTTCCATTAAAGCCAGACCAAACAATGAACTAAAACATTTTTATCTGAATCCTAGACTTTGAAAAGTTACTTGACCCTGGATATTACCAAAAGAGAAAATGCCTTTGAGACTTCGGCACAGGCAGAAAAGTAAGACACTGGGTAAGGTGATGAAAGAGCAGTAACTTTCAAGACGAGGTGGGTGTCATGTGTTAATCAAAACCACGTGTTACTTTTAAAGTGTGGTGATTGGCGCTAACAAGCCCCACTTGAGACCTGATGAATGAGACTCTGGAGTACAACTGGGGGCATCTTTGTTTTAAAAGACCAATAGATAATTCATACCTGAGCAAGGTTATTTATTACTGAGGAAGATCACTAATACTGATAAAATGCTATCAATTTCTCCTTGTATTACAACCATGCCACAGGCCACTTACCCGAACAAATAATGAAGTGATAACTTTAAGAAACAAATATATAAAAGGGCATAGGAGAACTTTTGATTTATATTTACAGTTTGACCTCTATAAAACATTAACTTCATTTCAAACTGAGAACTAAACATAATTCAACCATTTTTCTAACTTTAACATATAAAAATTCTTTGCTCCAATTCATGGTTACTTCATTTAAGGATACCTCTTGTAAAGCCAGCACTTTAAAACAAAGGTTTTTATTTAGCATACGGGGAGCCACAAAGTACAGCTGACACTAATGCATGCTTGTCAGTAATGAACATTTAGTATAGATGGTGAGGCTTAAAAGTGTTTCTCCCTTACATTGTTACCTCTTGGCAAAATTTTAACCAAGTTACCACATTCCATATAGTACTGAAGTTTAAAATATACCAATTTTAAAGTTAAAATTTAAATACTGTAGTAGTTTGAAAAAGAAACTAAAATTTTCTTTTCTTACTGGTGCTAGATAACTGGTTTGCCATGCAAAAATACTTTCAAGCAATAATGACTATTGGGTATACTTTCACGCTAAACAGAGATCAAGCAGTTAAATGTACAGTTTTCAGAAAACTGCCACATCTGTTACCTTTTGTTAGTTAATACAGTGCCTTAACGCATGCAGCACTCAAGTGCTGGCAGTACCATGAATAAGCGCACCATAGAGTGCAGATCCTCTTACCCTACAACATAGCGTATTTCTCTGTCCACTCTCTTGCTAACCTATTGTACCTAATTGAACAAGTATACTTAGCATTAATTATAACATACAAAAGTTATAATGGTAAAGTTGTACATACATAAAGAATTCAATATATAAAAAATTTAGACCAAATTTTTACAACAGTACCGATATTTTTTTTCAAAAACATAATTGGGGTGAAGAAAAAATACCTTTCTTCCTCAAAACAAAGTGACAAAACGTTGAACATGTTAGAAAAATAAAACATTTTAGATGGGCTCTTTATTGCTACATAAACCAAAACCTAGTAATTAAAAAAAAAAATCACATTTCAGTAACTGGTTTTCTGCACATTTCAACTATCATCTTACCAGAAATAAGCATCAAGTCTTCTTGGCGTTGCCCTGACGACTTACAGCAAAGTATAAGCCTAACTCATTAAGAAAAGCCACTTTTTATACTGTTTTCTTAAACTAGTACATACTTACTTATCTCTGTCTGTTTTATAGATCCGTGCAATCTCTGGCACTAGGGGGTCATCTGGGTTTGGATCACATAGCAGTGAACAAATGGATAAAAGAACTGGAAGAAAACAAATGCCTGTTACCCATCATCAGGAATTTGGATAAATACAAGTATTTAAAAACATGTATTATAAACCTCAATCTTCAAAAGATTTTTATTGGTTTATATCTTAATCTCCGTAAGACAAAGCTTTACGGAGATTCTGCTTTATAGGAGACAAGTTCCTGGTAGGTAAGAAATACTAAAATAGATCTTTGCTGGCATCAAGTTTACTGATTAGCTATAAAAATCTGCCAAAATCAGGGGTTCTAAGACAGTCAAATGATGCCATATTAGTTTGTATTACTTTTTTTTTTTTTTTTTTGCCGTGCTGCAAGCCATGTGGGATCTTAGTTCCCCAACCAGGGATCGAACCTGTGCCCCCTGTGGAAGAGTTCTAACCACTGGACCACCAGGGAATTCCCTGTATTACTTTTTAAAATAAAGTGGTATAAGAATTTAAGTAACTGGAGTTTCTTGGTACTCTGCAGGGTGGGGGGACCTTGAATAAAAATATCTGGGGAACATCTGTGCAGTATTATTCTTAGCTGTTTGCCATGATAAAAAAATCCACTTTCTGTCCTGCTCTCGAGGGAGTTTCACAGAAATTCACAACTGCCCCCACTGACTGTATGTTTTGTCTTCCTGAATTTATAAGGTAGAGACCATATCACAAAAGTACTGGTTAAATTTAACAACGTCAAGATCTATTACTAAGTGGGCCTTCAACTCTAGCTCTTACCCTGTCCTGTTCAAAATATCAACTTAAAAGATGCCAAGCATCATGGAACATGTACCTAATTCCTTCTAAATGTCTGTTATGTGCCAGACACTGTGCAAGGTTTTTATAAAAGTTTAAGATATAAAAGCTTAAAGTGGTCAAAAAACAACATTATTATCGCACATATAATTTTAAACCCAAGTGCGGGGGCAGATATAAAACTAAACCCACGTTTATAGAAAAAGTATTCAGTATTACAGTGCATTCCCAACAATGGTTAAAAAAATAACCTGGAACCTAGTATTAAAGCTTTCTTAATACCAGATATCTGGTGTTAAGAGAGCCTGATCTGAAAAGAAACTTGAATGTATCCAAGAGGGTGAGAAATAGGCCTAAAATTATGCCTCACTTAAAAGAATTACAGCAGCATTCACCCAAATTGTTTTTCTTTCTCCCCGCAAAAAGTATTTCCTATCAAATAAAATTTTGGGAACACTACAAAGTCCCTTTAAGGAGATTCAAAAGCACTGTACAAGCATATGAAAGGCTTTATGATGTCCTGCCTTAAAAAACAAATAAACAGGGGCTTCCCTGGTGGCGCAGTGGTTGAGAGTCCGCCTGCCGATGCAGGGGACACGGGTTCGTGCCCCGGTCTGGGAAGATCCCACATGCCGCGGAGCGGCTAGGCCTGTGAGCCATGGCCGCTAAGCCTGCGAGTCCGGAGCCTGTGCTCCGCAACGGGAGAGGCCACAACAGTGAGAGGCCCGCGTACTGCCAAAAAAAAACCCAAAACCAAAAAACAACAACAAATGAACAAACAAAACCAGTTTCACTTTGCATTTACCATACTCATAAAAATAAAACTTTTGGTAAAACACAATTAACTATTTCAAGAATAATAAGTACTCAGCCAGAAATTGAGAATGCTTCGAGTCAGCTGCTATCCTCAAATATCTGAAATAATGTCATAATTAGCAACATTAAAAACTAATTTTGTGTACTAAGGAATGCCAATACCCCAAAACTGAAAATTACTAAAAGGCAGACTTCCTTCCCATTAAGTAGTTTTGTGTTAGATGATTTTATTTGTGGGGTAAAAGTGACATAAAAGCCACCAGAGTCATTCAAAGAGTAAGAGATGGAGAGACACTCCATCTCCATCTGGGATATTTACATGGAGACTGGACAACCTATTAAAGATGTCACATAATGGATCCCTATTGAAGTAGAAGAGCAGAATTTATCTACAGACCTTCCCAAGACTATACATTTTAGACTATTATTAGGTAGGAACAACCTACCATGATCACAAAACACCTAACTAAAGGTTTTTAAAAAAGGGTTTTTTATCTAAAAAATAATAAACACAGGAAAGCAAAATCACAATTTTTCTGTGAGAAAGCTCAAGTTTCAAAAGCTCTATTAACTTTTGGTATATCATTTTAGCTAAAATTTAGGCGACGAGTGAATGAGATGTGCAGGTGGCTTGGGACTGAAAAATACTGTAGAAATCAATTTGTTCCTTTCCCCACCTTTATCAAAAAGCTGTCATTATAAAAATACTCAGAAAAGTAGGCTCAAAAATGAAATTCCTTTAACTATTAGAAAATCAGCCTCTCAAGACTTTCTCTAAAACTATTTTACCTTTAGAAATAGTTAAAGCAGGAGACCACTGTGATCTTAGAATATCGAGACAAATGCTGCCATTACTGTTAATATTTGGATGATAAATTCTTGTTGTAAATGCAACCTAAAAACAAAAACAAAAAAAACTTTAGATATTTTTCCCAAATAAAAACAAGCACCCTAAACTTTGGCAGAAGACTTTAGCAAGACTCAAAATACTGTTAAAATTCTAAAAAATCAAATAGCTAAAACCTAATTAATACACCTAAAAGGACCAAATATTACAGAAACTGGTTTCTATATTCTGACCAAGATCCCTCACGGGCTCTCCTATTTTTAATTAAAATGGAAAATACAACTTTGGGGCAAAAATTTTATTGTCAATGATATGGTGGGCTGTTCTGAAGGTTAACTTTTGGCCCTACCATATCATGAGTATCAAAGAGCCATTTGAAGGGTATTTAACATTCACTTAAAAATAAGAAACTTCCAGATGTAAACCAAAACACCCAGGCCAGCTCATTTAAGGCATCGAGTTACAAAGGTATGTATTTGAGCCTCCATTTCCACTGTACATAAAAAACACAAATTTGAATATCACAAAGGCATTTCATCTAAAATAACTGTCATATGCACCTATAATTGTGAAGATAGTTTTAGTGAAGTGCCAATGTTCTATATATATTATCTTCCATAGTTATTCATATAGATTGAGTTTATCTCAATGGCTCAAAAAGTTAAGGACCACATGCTTTTAATACCTATAAACCGGTCACCCCAGTGCATTAAGCAACTCTTGAGTTTTGATAAATTTACTGTTACGTGTGCAAGCTCAAAGCCCAAAATGTATTACAGTCTGTCTAAACCCCAATACAAATACGGTATAATTTTTAGCAACATGTGAAAATGCATACTGAAGTTGGATATTTGGAAGCCTAGTATTATAAGACACTAGGGTAACAATCCAAATCTGTATAAGCACAATAAAGGGGAAAATAAAAAAAGCTTTCACATGGTATATTTGAGGCTTGCAACATTAAGGATACGGCAATTCTCACCTCCACTTACAAAGTTCAAATCCAGATTCAGCTGCTCTTTTAACTAAAGGTTAAGAGTCAGCATTCAACATCAGTGATTCAACTCAATATATACATTCAGCCTCAATTATTCTTATTCACTATACATTCATATCAATTTAACCTTGACTTACACAGAACCCTAATTTCTAAGAATTAGAAATTCTTATTTTTGGAATAGAACACAAATCTATACTCACAAATTTGGAGGGGAAATACTTGCCTTAGGTGGTTTGAAGGGGTAGTCTGTAGGAAAATGAATTGTCAAAAAGAATACACCACCTTGATATGGGCTGTCATTCTGTGAAAAGAAAAATATGCTTAACTCTATTTTAAATGTTACTGCTAGATAATTCATGTAACATTTCTATTTTCTAAGCATTTCTCTAATATGAAGCAAAATTACCTATTTACACTGCAAGAGTCTAAATTATCCCACAATGAAGTCCGTATTAATGAAAAATCACAATATTTACTACAGAACAATGAACCCTACTTTACTTAGATCCTACTTTATGAAAGTTAAAGAAATTTAGATAAAATAACCCAGAAACACAAGGTTCTAGACCCCAATTCTCACAAAGTATACTTAGCAATAAAAGTCTACATAATAATGTACCAAGTTATAATTTGAAAATATAAGTTTACATTTATTTGTAGAATATTTCTTCTAATGATAGTCATATATACACAAATGGCTTTGTACCTCAACAGGCTATTCTGGTTACTGGCAAACCAAAAAGTTAGGTCTTGTAGGTAACATAACAACTCCCTTCAGTAGGACAAGTAGAACAGAAACAGAATATGTTTTTAAAGAAAGTTTAGTTCCCAACTGGCTCCTCAAAATTCTCATTTAAAAACCATGAAGTCTTGGGACTTGCCTGGTGGCACAGTGTTTAAGAATCTGCCTGCCAATGCAGGGAACACGGGTTCGAGCCCTGGTCCAGGAAGATCCCACATGCCACGGAGCAACTAAGTCCCTGCGCCACAACTACTGAAGCCCACGCGCTTAAGAGCCAAGTGCTCCGCAACAAGAGGAGCCACCACAATGAGAAGCCCGCGCACCGCAATGAAGAGTAGCCCCCGCTCGCCGCAACTAGAGAAACCCCGCACACAACAACGAAGACCCAATGCAGCCAAAAAAAAAAAAAAATTAATTAAAAAATAAAAACCATGAAGTTTTTTCTTCAAAAGCACAATACTGAGTTCTCTACAGCCAATCAATACACAGGATTACTAGATTTGGAAAACTGTGGAATGTTTGTTTGGTCCATTTCAACAGAAAATACAGAATTTTAAGCTATAGCACTACTTTTTCTCCTTTGCTGTCCTGCCCACTTTGAGTATGAAGAACTCCTCAGTAAGTAAATATTATACAATGTTAGTATGAAGTAACATTTGGGAGAAACTTGCGAGTATTTTACATTTATTAACCAATAAAAGGAAAAAGACGTTCCCATTTTATGAGTTGAGTAAAATAGGACTTGAAATAACTTAGTGAAGTATACAATTGGTACATGGTAGAAACAGGATTTAAACTCAGGTCTTCTGAAAACCACTGCTTGACTCGGATCAAAGAATGATGACAAAAGATGGTGATCCAGTCAAGGATTTTAAGGTCAAATTTTTTTTAAAAAAAGAGATTGCATAATTGTCTCTGGATATGCAAAGAGCCAACCTGAAGACGTGTTTGAAAATTTGCAGTAATTGAGTTATTACCAACACCTATTCCCCTCCATTTGAGTGAGGATGTATACAGCACTAATATGAGCCTTTTTATATGCCCACTCTGTGAGGCAAATAACCTTCACAGGTCTGACGCTGTAAGTTCATTTAATCCCCAGACCTCTGTAAAATAATTAAACATTAGTTGAATTACTTTAACTCCGCCGTTCTATTTACTAAGTATATGTAAGGGACACAGAACAATTTCTTATCTTGATGAGCTTACAGTCTGGTAAAGGGAGATACAGTGAAATGTTATAGCTATTATGAAAAATGAACGAGGGTGGGCTTCGCTGGTGGCGCAGTGGTTGAGAGTCTGCCTGCCGATGCAGGGGACACGGGTTTGTGCCATGGTCTGAGGATCCCACATGCCGCGGAGCGGCTGGGCCCGTGAGCCATGGCTGCCGAGCCTGCGCGTCCGGAGCCTGTGCTCCGCAACGGGAGAGGCCACGATAGTAAGAGGCCCGCAGACCGCAAAAGAGTAAGGTACTAAAGAGGAGTTTTCACATATTATTAGCCTTTGCAGGAAAAACATAATAAACAACATAAATTGAAAAATTCACCCTTATGTAACAATAAAACAATACCCACTGCTTTAGTTCAAGATCTTACTTCAGATGGACCAAATATTTTACTTCAGATTGTTTTTGTATCTGATTCTGCTCAGGCTGCCAACAGTTACATTATTCACAGATACGGTACTTTCTTCTATGGCTATGTATCATAGATTAGATGGAAGTTAATGTGGTTCTCAAAATAATTTCAACAATGTCTTTCTTCCAGCTCCGTTTACAATTTAAAAAAGTCAGGCACATAAATATCAGAAACAATATGTAAGGAAGTTAGTTTCTCCTCACTGCATCAATTCTTCATGGAAATTTCCCTTAACATAGCACAAAATAACCAACAAAAGTTTAAAAACCACATAACAAGCAACACTGCCACCTTCTTTCAACGGTTTATTTTTATCGGCATTTGTGCTTCCGCAGTATCTTGCCTTCGGAAAGAATAAGCTAGCACGTAGTTTTTAAGAACCAAGCATTTTTGTTCAACCATCAAGATTTCCTTACTATAATCCATCAAAATCCAATAGTAACTCTGTCATGACACCTCAATTAGACGATCCACACCTTAGAGGGTCAGAAATCTTTAGTTCTGTGACACTGCCATCACTTTGACCTAAGAAGCACTCCAAAGCAAAAGTAATTTTGTTAACGTTTATTCTTCCAGCAAATCTGCGATTTATGGATTGTTATGCCACCACTAGCCCTACTGTTTTGGGTCACATCTGCATGCCACTTAGGGTAGGCATACTAACAAAATAATATTACCTAATCAAACTGTGACGTTCTGTCATAAAGATGCAGTCAAAAGCCAAAACAGCATGGTTGTTTCATTGATACACTTCATAGTAAGGATAATGATTAACCATTTACAAGCCGGCATCTAAACTTAGGTGCTTACTTACAAAACGTGCAGTTAAAACCTGCATTTTGGGTGAGTTTTTATAACTTTTGACTCACTCCTGAAATTACCCAACAGTGAAAATTAACCTCCTCAGAAAACAAGTACATTTCAGAGACTAATGTTACTAAAGCAGAACTATGCTGTTATGGTATAAATATATTTTTTGCTCTTGTTAATCGGGAATATTTAAATAGTTCTGAAAATCAAATATTTGTTTTCAAAAGCAGAAAACTGCTATTCCTTTATATTAAAAGGTTGCTGAAAAAATTAGCAAAGCATAGCCATAATCTGAAATACATATAAATAAAAAATGTTTCCTGAAAATAAAAGCAAATTAACAGCTGAAAAATTCTTCAGGATAAGCAATCTTCTATTTTGTGGAAAATTACTAACAAACTCCTCAATTATGCTTCACTTTGATTTACTATAGGTGCATTCCTTACCTTTTGGAAAGGAATAAATAAAATAACGAAGTCTCAAAAGTCAAGCAGAAAAACATTACACTGATTTAAAAGAGTTGGTTTATTATGCACACCATCCAATTTTAAGTCTTAACTACCAACTCTTTTGTGCTTTATTAGTATAGACAACTAATTTTTATAATGAAACTATCTTAAAGCACTCTGAATCAAAGATGAGCTTTATTTGGTATAGATATGACAAGGCATTTTACTGAATTCCTTGCTTTGAAAATTGGTGATCTATAATGGGAAAATTCTAGAAGTTGCAACTCTAAGTGCCTAAGTGGACCTGGTAGAAATTGTGGCAGACACACATTTCCTGAAGAAAGGAGGCAGCTGCTACTCCACCCCACACTTGTAGAAGGAGGGTCTAGTGAGAGGGTTTTTATGTTAAGATTATCAACTTGTAAAACACTGTGTGGGCCAGGACCTCCCTGGCGGTCAAGTGGTTAAGACTCCATGCTTCCGCTGCAGGGGGCACGGGTTTGGTCCCTGGTCAGGGCCAAAAAAAAAAAAACTTTGTATGGGCCAAACTGGGTAAGCCATGAGTTACTTAACTATATGTATTTAGGGGGGGGGGGGGGGGGGGGCTGGGCGGGAATCACAATTTTGTCACCAATTAGACAAAAGCAAGCACTTAAAACAATAAAAATAGACCTTGAGGTAACTGGAAACAACCCTGACTCTGTAGTTTTTTCATTAGGATCTCAATCACAGACACATCTCAAATTGTTAAACTAAATATCCCCCCTCTATGTGATTTACAATCAGAACTGCTGAATAAACACTTGCTAAACCAACCCACCCACTGGCTAGCTTTTTTTTCCAAGGGCATTTCTTCTTTTAGAATTATAAATATCTACTTACTGACCATTATCTCACCTAGTACATTACTGCCAGTTATGTTGAGATTAAAATACCGAAAGGGGGAAGAAAGCAGAAAATTCAGTAACACACACACACACACCCCCACCTCAGAACAGAAATTTAGGTGCCTTCCACGTCAAAAAAAAAATGTTAAGTATTGTTCAAGATACAGTCTTACCCCAGGATGTTTTACTGTGCTCTAATTCTGTGAAACTCTTAGATGGTATCCATAATTCTGAATATTCAATTATCCAGCACATACAGTTTCTTATCTACCCAGGATAGAAAGGAATTTTGCTGTATTCAAAATATCACTTTCTAAGGACTTCCCTAACGGTGCAGTGGTTAAGACTCCACACTCCCAACGCGGGAGGCGCCGGTTCAATCCCTGGTCAGGGAACTAAGATCCCACACGCCGCATGGCATGGCCAAAATAAAATAAAACAAAGTATCACTATCTACCTAAAAATATTCAAATTTTACATGAAACTGAAGTTCTATAAAAACTCAAATATCAAAATAATACAATGAAGCTAGATTTTAGGCAGCTACAAGAAGAGAGTAAGATCTTTGAGTAATATCATGGTACAGCCAGAAAACTAATGGGCTATAAGTCAGGAAGCTCTGTGACAATACTTTACATTGCTATGAAAGAAAATTAGAATGGAAGAGGTATTTGATAGGTCATAGAAAAGCTATACATACTCTAGAACCTGAACACAGGGACAGACACTTACAGTATACTTAACTAATGACCAACTGTTTCTTTCAAAATCAGTGCAACAACTATGGCATATCTCAAATAAAATTACAATGTAATAAAATAAAGCTAAAGGCTTAATTAAAAATTACTAACTACATCAATGCTGGATTTTCATTAAAAGCAAAAACTTAATTCTCAGTACTTACAGGTCCCATAATTGTGGCTTGCCAATGAAACACTAGAAAAAGAAAACACTCTTGTTATTATCTAAAAATACACAAGCTTTTTTGAAACTAACCATAAAAATCAACTTGAAAATTACTTACTATCATCCCCAACTGGACCTGCAGAACATTGTGCTGGAGGGTCACGGGCCAAATCACTAAGTTCCTACACCAAGACAGAAAATGCTGGATCATGTAACCATAATAGAAAACACAAGCAAGTAAAGACAGTCGTCTGCTTCCAGTTATTTTTACACCATTCTTTAAGGGACATATAATCACAACTTACATCAACAATACATTCTATTAGGAAAGAAAACATAAGTAACCCCAGTCCAGTTTCTGGGACACACTAGGCACAGTTATTTTATGGACACATACCAAGACAATCATCTCGGCTAGGGGTTCATAAAAGCACACACACACATCGCTATGAAGTTTTACTGCAGGCATACACCTCGTTTTCCCATGCTTCACGGATACGCGATTTGGGGGGGGGGGTTGTTTTGTTAAAACAAATGGAAGGTCTGCGGCTACCTGTGCCATCTTCCTAACAGCACCTGCTCACTTTGTGTCTTTGTATCCTATTTTGATAATTTCTGTAATATTTCAAACCCTCTACCAGTAAAGAAAGATTACAACTTGCTGAAGATCCAGACGACGTTTTTTTAGTAATAAAGTATTTTTAAATTAAGGTACATTTTTAAAGACATAATGTTATTGAACACTTAATAGACTACAGTAGTGTAAACGTTAACTTTTATACGCACTGGGGAAGAAATAAATGTGACTTGCTTTATTGTGATATTTGCTTTATTTGGGTGGTCTGGAACCAAACCCTCAATATCTTTGAGGTGTGCCTGTACATGAACAAAAGCTGTCCTCTTACAAAATGAAAAAGTTGTAATCAGACACTTTCCTAGGTTAAGAACTTAGGGCAGTTATCAACATTCATGTTATTTGCTGAGCTTTCAGACCATCTCAGAGGCTCTGTCTTAAATACTGTCTGCTGTCTTAAATACTCTTTTTCTGAACCACACTACCCAGTGACCACATTTTCTCCTTAAAAAATCTCTCATGGGGCTAGGTAAGTACCCCGTTTGGTTTGATCTCCTTATTCCTCAATTCAACCTTATCTTTTACTTAACATTGAGTATATCTCTGGAAAAACCTTCCTCTCCAGGTAGAAAAGCACTGTGCTTTTTTTGCTAAGAAGCAAAACAAGCAGTATCCACAATTCCATTTGACCTTATATTTCCAACATAAGTGTAATTTAGCCCTTCCATGACTTGTGCATAACCCATATGGGTAATCTAGTAAGAAAACAGAGTTGCTTCTTTACAAGTTTAAAAAAATTAATGATACAGCTTTATCTCTATACACCTATATATAAATTCCTACAGTACAGGGATTTATAGACCTTTGAGATAATAATGGACTTCTAAGAAAAAGGCAGGGAATACACTGCAGGAAGACAGATCAAATATTTGCCTTTACTATGGGCAAAATAATGCACTTCAGAAAACAGCCAATTGTTCAGGAATATCAGTCTAGATTCACTCCGTTAAAAAAAAAAGATCAACGCAGAACTGTCCTTGAGGGGTAATCATTTTACAATATACATATATCAAATTATTATGTTGCACATCTATTACATTATATCTCAAAAACAAAACTGGGACAAAGGAGTGCCTTGATATACACTTTGCCAATTTGCTTCTGAATCTCAAACTATGACTGCTTATAAGGTTATCAAGGCAGCCAGGGAATCCCAGGAGTCACAATCTTAAGATGACTGGAAGATCAGATCAGACTTTTATGCTTGCCCATGTAAATATACCTCATTTGTTCAACATATTTAAAGAAAGGGGGAAAATTCATTCCAGAAACTTAGATTCTGATCAGTACTAATTACAGAAGCTCTTATCTCAGAGTTAAGCAACTAGTTGAAAGAAACTGAAACTATGTACAGCTTTAGCTTAGAACTGAATCATAGTTTTTTGAGCAAAAAAAATATACTGGCAGCTTGAACTAATCAACTATCCAAATGACTTTTTCATAGGCCAGATCAACTCTCATAAAGCATTTATTTGCATTCCATGATCAGCCACTTTATTATAATGGCAAGCTACTTCAATACCATCTCAAGGTATATACTTTATTGCAGATAAGGATTGAGCATAGTCTAACTGATATGAAGAGAACTTTTTTCCATGTTCCAAAACTTATTTAACAAGTTCTGTTGTTTAAATGATCCACCAAAAAAAGATAAACCAGAAGCTAACTTATGCAGGCTAACTTCCTCTGCCGGAACATAAGGGTCCAAAGAAGTCTATTTTAAGATTAAAAACTTACCTGTTCCAAACCACCCTCTCCCCTTTCCTACACAACAATAAAGACGTGAATTTTCAAAAATGCTACTAAAACCAAACACAAACTTGCGCATACAATTCAAATGCTCAAATATAGCATCATGAAATGAGGACAATGAATATGCACCTCCCTCAATATGGATCATCAGTCTGGAGTCTCACTTTTAATCCAATTTAGACCCACTATTTCCTAGGCTTATTTCCGCATCTCTAAAACACAATAGAAATGCCTGTTGTTACAGAATTTTTGAAAGAATGAATAAGATAAAGTACTTCAGCACACTATCTGGCATATAATGTATTAGGTGCTCAGCAAGTGGAACACCCACCTTGAAGGCAAGATTTCCTAGACAGGCACTCAAATCACTTGTTTACTAAACAAAAGCAAAACTGCTTTATAAATAGGGTACTTATTATAGCCTTAGCTTATTTAAATCTTTTGCCTGTGTGATGAATTTTTATGCTTAGTTGTCTATAACATACTCTTCTAACAATTATATGGCTCATGCTATGATATATGTTAATAATACAAGGTCAGCAATTCGAGGGCTATTTGTGGATAGGCTTTTAAAGAAACCATGTTATTGAGTTGTATGAAATTACTAATACTTGACCATTTCTGAACTGCAATTTCATATGGTTCTACCTAAAACTGTCAGGTAAGCATGTGAACTCAAATATTACTAAAATGAGTTTCTTACACGGATCTACCCCAAATTTATGTAGTTTTCTGTACTTACACACTTTTACATATGTTAATGATAAGAAAAATATCTAGCATTTTTAAATTAAAAAGTAATTTAATGATGGGTGGTCTAACAAAATACCCAAGTGATGCTGAAACAACATAAACTTCAGGAATCTATAAAGCTGACCTAGAATATATCAACATCCTACTTCGAAGTTGCACATTTTATGAAAAATCTAAGAAAACATTTTTTAACGAGTCTTCCTGCACATGGACATCTCTGAATCACTCAGCCTCTATATGCTGACATTTTCACTCCTTTACAGTGAATGTACAATTTCAGAGAGCACTGAATTTAAGCTCTTCACTCCCATAACTTCAGGCTCTTATTCCCCTCAGATAATTTCTAAATGCCTTATTTTCCAAGTCCCCCGTGACTAAGACACCTCTTAAGTAATACTCAAAGATGTAATATTCGGCCAAGTATGTACCAAAATCGACTTTAAAATCAACATTAAAAAATGACCTAAAGTAATTTTAAGAATCAAAATATCTTTTAAATCATATACCAGCACTTACCTCAAAGATGCCAACTAATTCTCATGACATTATTATGTCCATAGCAGAAGCAAGTAAGATATAAGAATATCTTAGCAGTGAAAATATATGAGAAAAAGCATAATAAGTCATCTCAGATGCTCTTCCATGCACCACTGTCTACTCAAACCCTCTTCTCCTACTTTCCTGGAAATGCTTTTCTCATACTCCACAGGTATGACTGTAGTGTTGGGGTGACTGTCAGCCACCATTAACCAACTACTCAGAAAGGGTAATCAGAGAATTTTGTTCCATCTATCCCTACCCAAGATTTTCAAATTGAAGCTGGAAAGGACACTTTTTCCTTCTCTAATCAGGAGCTGTAAGGATGTGACCCAGAGCTACTGGCAGGCATATGCCCTGAAATTACATGGTGAGTCCAAAGAAAAAGAGGCCACATTGGGCAGCAGAGATAAAGAACTAACTTGGCATACAGACACACAATTTCAGTTCCTGAGGTTGTAGCTTGCTCTAATTCCTACAGTTACTGCTTTGATTGTTAACCACCCCAGTTTTCTTCAAGGGGCGGAGGCAGCAAACACAGAGTAAGGAGAGATCCACTCTAAGCAGAGTGCTACCTGGGTCCCATTACCAATTATACACATTTTAATCCACGAAATATGTTGCTTTAATCTTGCTGTAAAACATGTAAGAAATATAAATGAAGCAAAGTCTCAAAAGGAAACTAGAGGAAGCAGGGAGAAATCATGTGGCTTACCTAGTAAAAAGTTAAACTTTCAATAATAGGAACTAAAGATTAACTTAAATCCATTTCTAAAATAAAAAGTGTAATATCAGCTCAAGTTACACCCAACAAAGCATTTATTCATTTATATGAAGACTACCTTTTTTGGTGTCAAGTATGTTAGGTCTGAAAATACCAAGATAGAAAAGATAGAACATGAATGCCTCCCCCAACAGACTGAGCTAAAAAAAAGCGCAGACATAATACAAAACCAAAAAATTATATTTCAAACAACCTGAGTGCTTAAAGTAAAGGCATTCAACTGCTTTGTGAATCCTGAAAAGGTTATCACTAACCTTGCCTGGGTTTAAAACAGTGACATTTGAACTGGGTCTTGATGGAAGGATAAGCATTCAAGGTAGAGAAACTAATTCAAAACCAGGGGTGTGAAAGAAAACAGGCTGTAAAAACTTGCTTGTAGTTTGGTATACCAGAGACACAACAGGGTACCGGTAAGGGAGTAGCAGATGTGGCTAGAAAGGTTAATCAGGGCTGGATCTTTTGAGAGTCTTGAATATTATGGCAAAGACTATTCCACAGCCAATGGGAAGTCACTGATTTTTAAGCAGGAATAGTTTTTAAGTAGGAGTAAGACAAATGAGATTTGGATTTTTTGATGTACTAGCAGTAGTACACTAGGAGTGACTGACTTTTTAAATTATTAATCCTAAAAGCAGTCATGTATCTGTGTACCTAGCTTGACATTACATTTTTACTATACCTCTTTCAGATTTTAAGTTTTGCAGATATAACAGAAGATCTCT